GCAGTATAACACACGCAGTCACAGGAGCAAGACACAACACAAAGCACAATACACACACGAAAGTAAGAAGAGTGCTCCGATAGAAAAGGATAGGTGTGACTCGCGTATTGAGATGCGACGTAGGGATAAAAAAAATCCTGAACAGTTTTAATATTTTTAATATTTAATATTTATCAATATATATGATGAACATATATTTTAGTTATTTTAGTATGAAGACGGCAAGGCATGCAGTGAAGTAGTTTAACGTAAATTGAAAAGCACCTGAAGATGGCACCTTTGTGCCAAAACATGTAGTGCAGGAGTGAAGAGTGAGGTGGATGGGTGTATGCACTGTAAGACGGCTGGAATAAATCATGGACATAAATCAGTGCAACAGGATGCTAAAATATAACAAGCTTAAAACGCTTGAGTGATGACACACACAGGCAATGTGCAAACGGCCAGTGGCAGTTCTATTGACATTTTTTATCAAAATGTATGTGGCCTTAGGACTAAATCGGTAGAAATCTTTAACAACGTGTGCTCTTTCGATTTCAAAGTTATATGTTTAACTGAAACGTGGCTAAATGACTCATTCTCAAGTTCTAATTTCTTTCCCGACACCTATGCAATTTATCGCTCAGATCGAGACTGTCGTGACAAATCACGGGGTGAAGGCGCCCTGATCGCCATCTCTAACGTGGTTTCAGGAGCTATATGCCGACCCAATCTCGAATTTTTCCCGGAATCGGTATGGGTTGAAATTATGTTATCTGTTGGTCGTGATTTACTTATTGGTAATCACTATTTTGCACCTGACATTAAGGTTGACGTCACTGATAACTTTTTCAAATTTTTAGAAAATAAGTTGGATTCACTAAATTATCGAGTACTTCTGATCGGGGACTTCAATGTCCCTGGCTTTGACTGGGACAAGGGCTTACCTTCCCCCCATTGCCACTACTATACAAAACTGAAAGGTGAGGCGATTCACTCTGCCACCTGTCTCCTTGGATTAAATCAACATAATCTTTCTGTCAGCGGTGGCAATCTTCTTGACCTTGTTTTTTCTAACTTAACTGGCATATCACTTGTTCATACTCAACATGCCCTTGTTGAGTCAGATCCTTTTCATCCTCCCTTTGTTATTGAGTGTTCAATACCAGTTCGCCGCAATCACCAAAATTCCGTTTTTACCTACAGGCGCTTCCCTGCGGGTGATTATGCTTTACTTTATAACACGCTCCTTTCTTATGATTGGTCCTCAGTGTACAATGAATCCTCTGTGGATGCCGCTGTCGACATGTTAAATGACGCCATAATTAAAGCTATAAATTTAGATGTTCCCATTGGCACCATATCCAAGCACAAATATCCTGCGTGGTTCTCTAGCACATTAAGAACTTATATTAAAAAGAAAAATTATTTTTACAGGCATTACAAAAAGTACAAGACTGACTGTTACTACAACAAATTCTCCTTTTATCAGAAATTAGTAAAAATCAACCATTAAGTCTGACAGATCTCGATGGCTTCACTACGTCGATGAGAATTTAAAATCCAACCCGCAACAATTTTGGAAGTATGTATCACAGTATAGGAAAAAATGTAATGATGCAACTCACTTTGACGTTAATGGAGTTCTCATGCATAATTCTCGTGATATTGCTGAAGCTTTCTCAGAACATTTTCAATCCGTTTATGTTGGTGGTAGCTCCTGCCCTGGTACCATCTTCACTGGTAATTGCTTCACTGATATTTTACCAATTGCTTGTATTTCTACCGCCGATGTCCACAAAGCTATAAAGTGGTTGAGACCAACGAAGTCAGTCGGACTTGACAGCATACCCAGTTTCATTATAAAGGACTGCTCTGAAATCTTTGTACCTATTCTCAGGTTTATTTTTAATCTCAGTCTGTCCCAGAATACCTTTCCCAAATTGTGGAAGCAGGCTGTCATCATTCCTGTTTTTAAAAAAGGGAAATCTTCTTCTGTCCAAAACTACAGACCCATAGCGATCCTCAACAACTTTTCCAAAATTTTTGAATCTATCATACACGACCACATTTATCATTTNCATTTTCAATCCGCTTATGTTGGTGGTAGCTCCTGCCCTGGTACCATCTTCACTGGTAATTGCTTCACTGATATTTTACCAATTGCTTGTATTTCTACCGTTGATGTCCACAAAGCTATAAAGTGGTTGAGACCAACGAAGTCAGTCGGACTTGACAGCATACCCAGTTTCATTATAAAGGACTGCTCTGAAATCTTTGTACCTATTCTCAGGTTTATTTTTAATCTCAGTCTGTCCCAGAATACCTTTCCCAAATTGTGGAAGCAGGCTGTCATCATCCCTGTTTTTAAAAAAGGGAAATCCTCTTCTGTCCAAAACTACAGACCCATAGTGATCCTCAACAACTTTTCCAAAATTTTTGAATCTATCATACACGACCACATTTATCATTTTCTTACATCAAAATTGAACCGTTTCCAACATGGTTTTATTAAGTCCAGGTCTACTGTCACCAACTTAGTCACTTTCCTAGAATTTACTGCCCCCCTTGTCTGTTCACAGGGTCAAACCGACTCCATATACTTTGACTTTACAAACGCTTTCGATATTGTTCCACATGCTTTGCTTCTTCGTAAACTCGATAACTATGGGCTGTCTTCTGAATATATCAACTGGCTCACTAGCTACCTAACTAACATAGTGTCTCGTGTACGTTTTTCGGGTCAACTCTCCTCTACTTTTATTGCTCAGTCGGGAGTTCCTCAAGGGTCAGTCTTAGGGCCTCTACTCTTTAACATTTTTATCAACAAACTATGTGAAGTAATTAACCACTCCTGCTGTCTTTTGCATGCAGACGACCTCAAAATCTATCGAGCTATTAAGTCCCCTACTGATTGCATACTTCTACAGTCAGACATTGACAGAGTTTACAGTTGGTGCATGGCTAATTTTATGAAACCCAACCTTAGCAAAATTAGAATTATTTCCTTTACCAGGAAAACTACTGCCTTGGGCTTTCCATATAGGCTGGGTAATACTGTCATACTTTGTGCAGACTGCATTAAAGACTTGGGAGTATATTTTGATTCCAAACTTTACTTTCATCAACATGTAATTTATTTATTTTTGCATGCCTTAAAATTATTAGGCTTAATTCGTACTATCACTTTCTCCTTTTCCACCTTAGACAGACTAATGACGTTATATTCTGCCCTTATCAGATCTAAATTAGAGTACGCTTCTGTGGTTTGGAACTCTGTAACCAACACTGACTCTAATAAACTTGAGCGTATACAAAGAGAATTCGCAGCACTTTGCCACATCCGATTTTTTCATGACACGGAATATCATTACATCAATATGCTTGATATGTTAAATCTGCGATCACTCCACACTAGGCGTCGCCACATTGATGCTTTGTTCCTAATATGTGTTTTTAAAGGTGACAAAAACTGTCCTTCGGTCCTAGAAACAGTCGGTATTCGAGCTCCCTCTCGGAACATCCATAATTTTTCCCTATTCTGCTGCTCCTCTAGTCACTGTCCTTCAGCCAGATGTGTCTCTGCTGCTAATTTAGTGTGCAATTCTCTAGACATTTTTAGTAATTCTAATATAAGTTTAAAAAATCTGACTATTTAAATTGTTCTTATAGTTGCATCAGATTTATTTCTCAATTAATTATCTAAACATTTTGTTTCTTAGTCCTAAATACAATGAATATCTATTATTATTATTCTTATATTTATTATTATTGTAATTATTATTAAGAATATCTGTCTATTTAATTTGTTCATGTAACTTTTTGCAGGACACTTGTTATCACTTCATCATTAATACATTTACTTTTGTAAACCTTTGACAAACGTTATACTTAGACACTGCTTGGTTTGTCTCTAACCTCCAATTGTGTTTTGTCACTTGGGCATTTTGCAATGGAAGTTATGTACTTTCTTCGTCAATCTGTCTGTATATTGTTCACTTGTCTTCATGCTGACTCTGTAATTGGCTACCAGCTGTTGAGTACTGCACGTAAATAAAACCAAGAATTGATTTGAATTACAACTGCCAACTTCCAAATACCATCACATATACAACTTTTAACTATACTTTTGACTATGTAACTGGTTATTTAAGACTTCAACTTTTATTGTAATTCATATTTTATATTCACTCGTATCATTTTATACCACTGTATACACTTGGAAGTTTAGCAATGTATCCTATATTTTACATGCAATTTAATAATGAAAAGTTTAATGTATTTGCCTGATGATGGCCTTTTGAAGGCCGAAACATGTAACAAAAATATCTCCTAGAGCTACTTACATGTATTATTGATTGCTGTGTTATGACAGTTTTCAGTAAGAAATCATCACGCGCTGTATTAAGCTGTGGGCTATACATTAGGTGGGAATGACTCAATGTCACGTGACTTCTTACGAAGCGTATAGTTCAGGAGTTCCCCTCTTTGTCCAGTGAGGCAATGAGGCAAGCTTCGTAAGCAGTTAGTGTGGTACTTCCCAGGGTAGAGCCAATCAGAGATACTAGCTACTGAGTGACATCATGCTAACAGCTAGTGGCGTGGTATGCTTTTCCTTTGTTCTAGACAAAGCCCAACTCTTAAAACTGTCAAGACATGTAACCGTGTTGCTCCCTGAAAAAGGGAACAACGAACTATACAAAGCCTTAATAAGTGTTATTAACAATGTGAATATTTAAGATTAAATAAGGTGTAAATGTTTGTGAGTTTGTTGCTGGATTCTGTTGACTGCCTTGTTGAAACCAAGGCCCACTTAACGGCCCTGTGAAAGTCTCATGTTCCCAATTGGGTGGCGCCCAACACATCATACCACAGAACATCAGGATCGTACAACTACTACAAAAAGGTGAAGCTATGTTTTCGCCTGATTCTCCAGAGTAGCTATAAGGCGGTTCACAGTTGGCAGCTGCGTCCACCTTAACCCAACCAGTGCCTATATTATGATGACTGCAATAGGTGACGCACATGTGGCACTACAACTGTTACAAGTGGCACCCAACACGTGTGTCCAGAGTGCCTACAAGCCCACTGTTATAGGCAGCATCCAATGTGTGGCTCCCGCGCCTACACAATGACAGTTACACAGGTAATATATAACAACTCTCAAGGAGGACTTTGATACGAGGCCAAGCAGTGCGGTTGTGTCAGTGTAGCGCTCTGAGGAATCGACTGTTTATAGTGAATAAACTCAAGAAAATGATCAAACAGGACAAACACGCTTGTGATCTACGCCAGCAAGAAAACATCTCTGCAAAACAACAAAACAAAGATCATACAATGCACCAGATGCCAACAATACGGACACACAAAAATCTACTGTAATAAACCATACGTCTGTGTCAAATGCGGCAGATCGCACAAAACTATGGACTGTAAGAAAACAAGGGACACGCCAGCTAGATGCGCGCATTTCGAAGGAGACCATCCAGCCAACTACAGAGGCTGCAATCACTACCGCAAGTTAACCAAAGGCCTCACTAGCCCAATACAACAAAAAATTACCACCACACCTATCTACTCAACTGAAAGCTATGCGAGAAATATTCCAGCATGAGAACCGTCATCACCTAGAAGCTACGCAGACGCTACAGGACGCAACTCAAGTCAGCCAGAAGAATCCACCCACATACTCATCAAATTCCTTGACGAATTCAAAAACCTACTACAACAACTACTGCAACAAAACACTATGGTACTAAGTATGATCACTACACTTGTCAACAAAATACATTAAATGTTCAAATTTCTAAGAATAGCACAATGGAATGCCAACGGCCTACAAAATCATCAATAGGAAATAAAAATATTGCTAAAGATAAACGCTATAGATATTCTCCTAATCAGCAAAACCCATTTCACTGACAAAAGTTATACCAACATACCAACATACAAAACCTACCAGACCAACCACCCCAACGGCAAAGCGCGTGGAGGAACAGCAATCATAATCAAAGAAACTATAGATCATTTCGTCCTACAAAAGTATGAAGAGCCACACATCCAAGCTTCCTCAATCAAAATCACAACCTTCCCATACCCCTTCACCGTTTCCGCGATCTATTGTCCTCCCCGATTCAATCTCAAGAAAACCCACTATGAGACCTTCTTCCGCACCCTGGGGAATAAATTTATAGCCGGAGATGACTTCAACAGGAAACATACCTTCTGGGGATCAAGGCTCACCACCACAAAAGGAAGAGAACTACATGCGACAATTACTGACAACTGCTGCTGATGCATATCTATCGGCTCTCCGACGTACTGGCCAACAGATAAGGAAAAAATTCCAGATCTACTGGACTTCTTCATAACAAAAGGTATTTCCCCATCCTACATAAACATCACCGGAAGCCTAGATCTGACCTCTGACCATACTCCTATCATAGCAACAATAAGCACAACAGTACTCCCAAAACAACCCAAGCCCAAGCTCCACACCTCCAAAATAAATTGGGAACTATTCAGACAAATCATAGAGACCAAAACAATACTAAACACCAAACTGAAGGACCCAACTGACATAGAAAGAGACTACAAACATTTCATAAACCTATTACAAGAAGCAGCCAAAACGACAACCCCTACATTCCAACATACCCCCACCCCTAACGACATCTCGGTAAGGATAAAAAAATTAATTGCCGAAAAAAGAAGAGCAAGATCACACTGGCAAAAAACCCATTCCCCGGAAAACAACTACAGGACTTAAGGAATACATCTTTCGAAAAATATACCGCAAACCTCTCCAGACAACTCTATATGGAAACCCATACAGAACAAAAGACGACCAACACCAGTTACCCCACCAATACGTAAGTGCACGACTCCTCCAAGCAAATGGGCAAGAAGCGATCATGAAAAAGCTGAATTGTTTGCAGAACACTTACAAGAAATATTCACCCCCCAGGACAACCTACCATTGCAGGAGGTAGACTCGATGCTCAACGAAACCATGCAAAGACCCAAACAACCAAAGCATTTCAGGCTAAAGGAGATCCACACAGCAATAAACACACTAAAATCCAAAAACGCCCCAGGACTAGACCTCATCACCACCGAAATTCTAAAACAACTGCCAAAAAAGGATGACTCAAACTCCTATACCTACTCAACGCTATTCTCCAATTAAACTACTGGCCCCTCCTGCTCAAAACAGCCCAAATCATAATGATATTAAAACCTGGGAAAAACTCAACTGACGTCTCCTCATACTGACCAATAAGCCTCCTACCAATAATAACAAAACTCCTCGAAAAACTACTTCTCAACAACATCAACCAAGACTCAAATCGAATAAGGTGGACCCCAGACCATCAATTCAGATTCCGCAGAGCACACTCAACCACTCAACAAAGCCATCACATCGCCAATACCATATGCCAAGCACTGAACAAAAACCAATACTGTACTGCAGTATTCCTAGACATAGCCCAGGCCTTTGACAAAGTCTGGCATCCAGGTCTACTCTTCAAAATAAAAAC